CTCACTCATTCAGTGGCCAGCTCAGAAGCCTGGAGAGAAACCCATGCAACTGAAGGACCTGGCCCTAATCGGGTTCTACCTGCTAGGGTATTGTTTCATATTTCCTAAACAAACTTATAGTTCTGCTGAAACTTAAATTAACTGATATGTGCCTTAATAGGTTCTTTTATTTTTTCAGAGCTAATTCTTATAATTTATTGTGAATCTCTGGATTTCTGGAATCCTGCCTTGGACAGGCTCTTAGTAATTAAATTCTGAAGAACATTGTGTCATAAAATCTCCATGGTTCCTTGCAAAAGGAAATATTAGTGCTCTTATACCCTAGAAAAACAAAATTCTGCTATCTGGGCACCAACAGGCATTTTTTTCTCATCTACATACTTAATCAGCTTCAAAATAATTATTTTCCATTCATGGTTAGTAGTAAAGTTGGGACATTTAACATTTTTTTCTTATTACTAAAATGATGCTTGTTTATTATAGGAAAATTAGAAAATATGGATGAATAAAAAGAAAACAATTAAAAACATTAATAATATCTAGACCTTTTTCTATAAAACAGCATAACTTGGAAGCTTGTAAAAATTTAAGAAAATGCCCATGTTAATTATTCAAGTAATGGATTTTTTTAAAATTTAATAATCTCTCATTTATTGCTTTACAACTTTGGTGATAGAAACTGAGGTGGCTGGTATCAACAGATTGTCACACACTTGCAATACCTCTTTAGTTTCTGTGTCTACCTATGGACATGTAGATATACTTTAGCTCTTTTTAAAAATCATGCCATTTTTTGTTAATCTATAACATGTTTGGGGGGTTTAACAATATATCATGGATCCATTGTCATATTAATAGACATGGAGCCAATGCCTTATTCTTAACAATGTATGATGTTCTACAGTATTCCACCTTGTTTCATTTAACCCATTCCCCTATTGAAAAATGGTTTCCAATATTTTTCCTTATACATAATGCCAAGTAAACCTTTTTATATATATCATTGTTTATGTATGTTTTCTACTGCCATATTTTTCAAGGTTTAATTACTTCTTAGGTAAAAACTAAGCATATTTTATTAGTTCTTTAGATTAATAGACTCAGCTTGTTGGCCCATTTTGCTGTACTGTAGATTAAAACCTTTGTATATCCAAACATACAGGCACACAGGGAAGCAGAGAGATGTTGCGGTTCTCATCAGTGGTCCTCAGCTCCACTCCCCACCTCATCCCATCCCATGCCCCATCACTTCTCCTCACCTAACACTTCACAGGACCATGTTCTGCACCTGGGGGCCCCTCTGCATTTTCTGCAGTGAACCTTGTTTTGAAGCCTCTTTCAAAAAGCCCCTGAGAGCTTTCCTAATCTCTCCCACTTTACATGCAGAAGACCCCCCAACTTGATCTCTGATCCCACCTTCTTCATCTCCCTGTGACAGCCCCTTTCTTGTTCTGCCTCCTATGAAAGTTGATGGTGCACACATCTGAATGCCCTGATAGATGAGGAGTCTTTCAGTGGTAGAATTCATCTCAGCTGAATGCAACTTGTCAGCATGGAAATCTCAAAGACTGTTGATTAGACTTGGAGAAGTTACCTAAAAATTAAATACAGTCAGAGCCTAGTTTTTGCCTTTGAAGTCTGATTATAAGCTATAACTAAACAGTTATTAGAGCAATATTTAGAAAAGATAAAACATACATGTTGTATGTGTATTTTGACCTTATGGACTTTTTCTTTTATTTTCAGGACAGGGGTTAGTAAACTTTTCCTGTAAAGAGCCACATAGTAAATATTTTAGGTTTGGTCAGCCATAAATTTGCTGTTACAACTTCTGAGCTCAGCCATTATTGTGAAAGTGACCCTAGACACAAAGTGAACTAATGAACCAGTAGCTGCATTCTAATACAACTCTATTTACCAAAGTGCAATGGGCAGGAATTGACTTTTTGCCTATCATTGTGGCCAACTCATGTTCCAGGAGTTTTCTAGGTCCAGATAGACTAACATGAGTTAGATTCAGATTCTAGTTCTTCTACTCACTTTGTGACTTTGGACAAGTTCCTTAATCTCTCTGTCTTTTTCAATGCAAAGTAAGATTGATCTTATTTTCATGGTAGGCATCTAGTTTATGGGCTTGGAACTTAATGAGCACTGAGTGGTAGCTACCAATACTGCCTTCACTGGAAGTAGCAAATCTATGATAGTTTGCGAATCAGTGGATGGCAGACACTACTGGGCAACAACGGCAAGTTTCATGGCAGTCGTTTACAATAATTTCGAGACTGAATTTGGTATAGACAGACACACACACACACACACAGAGAGAGAGAGAGAGAGAGAGAGAGAGAGGAGTGTCTGATTCTTGCTGCAATAACATAAATCCTACTAATGAAAGATTTTGAAGATTATTTAGGGTGCCTGGAGCTATGATTATATAAAAGGTGGTACAGGTCAGGCTTTAGGAAAAATTAGCAGTCAAGTAATTGTACCTGGAGATTTACATGAAGAAATACCTTTTTTAGCTCAAACCAAAAAAAAAAAAAAAATTTCATCTTTGGCGCTTTTCTGGCCTTCGTCATTTCCAAGCATTTCTGTTGTAGATCTTGCAAGATGCAAACACTCCAGTGGCCTTTCCACTGCCCGTGAGATCCAGTTCAAACACCAGCATTGCAGGCAAGGTCCTCTGCAGCACATTTCCCCCCCCCTTATTTTGTCAATGCACCTTTCATTGCACAGTGCAGGGGCTTCTACCAGACAAATTGATTTGCTTATTTGGGTTCCTAAAACTCTTCTCCCCTCCTGTTTTCCTTCCAGCCCAGTTTCTCCCTTTCTCCCCAGTTCTTCCTAGTTCCCCTACCCCCATTCTCTGCAGAGAGCCTAGCTATGTTCTCCCCTTGGCCTCTAAGAACATTCCTGACTGTCCCTTTTTTTTTTTCTTTTTGTTCTGCCTGTGACAATTCCTCCATATCTACTGTAAATAAGCAGCAAGTCCTGCAGTATTGGAAGATCATGTGTGGAACAGAATCAAGTTTGGGATTTTTAGTTCAAAAACTTGATTTTGTATCCTGGCTCCACCATCAATGCACTGTGTGGCTGATGTGGAGAAAATGCTTTAATATTTCTGAGCCTTAGTGTTTGTATTTATAAAACAGGAGTACTATCCCTACCTTTTAGAGTTTTGTGAGAACTAACTGAGGTTAAGCTAAATAGAGAGGCTGGGAGTCCCTGGAAAGTACCTGTCTCATGGGAGTTTTGCCCACAGGATTGGCTTGGTGTTATCTCCCTAGCAATGCAATAATTTGAAAGCAAGGCTATACCAAAGTGTAACCTGTGATTAATTGCAGTGCCTAGCATTGTTAACAGAACTCAATGATCTTATTTGATTTATTTTAAAATTATTTAAAAATCCTCATCAGTGTTATGTAAGGAAGCTCCAGTTTTTAATTTTATATGCTAGAATTAAGATCTTTATTAACCGATTGCAGAGGGATGCTTTAAGATGGATTGAAAATCAATCCAAAGTGTCATAAAATTTGTA